TATCTACTCTCCGCCTCCGCCTGACGGCCGGCGCCCGCGGGCACCAGCACCAACCGCTCTCCCGGCGCCGAGAGGGACGAGATGGAGGTCCAACCGGGACGCCGGCGGCGCATCACTCCCTGCGGTCTCCTCCTCCCGATGGCCACGAAGGTGCGCTCGTCTCCAATCAAGCGTCCTCGCCGGATGTGGTCCGGCAACCGGCCGCCGGCCGCCAAGACGCTGCAGCTGCAGCGATGGTCTTCGAGGCTTCCTCGGTGCCTTCTCCTCGTGAGGGCGCTGACACCACCGCTGCGCCGGTCTCCATACGGGGACCATCGCCGTTGACGGCTTTGGTTTCCCATGAGGTGGGGGAGCAGGAAGCCTTCTTGGAGGTGGAGCCCGCTTCGTGTTCGTCTACGCTCCCCGCGCCATTCACCACCTTCCGCACCATCGAGGTTGCCCTCGCCTTCTTCGAATATCAACACCGTCACCAGCAACACGATGAACAGCACAATCCAGTGCGAGGTAAATTTGTCTACTCTTCTTCCCCCACCTAAATCCCAATAAACCCTCAATCGATCTTTCTACTGTTTCCGCGAATCTGTATTATTAGGTGCGTTAATTGTTTCCGCGGATCTGTATTGTTGGGTGGGTTTTTCATGTGGTTGCATGGAATCCTCAGTTTTTTTTTTCTTTTTAAACAAATGATCATTTGTGATTTTGCAAATTTGGAATAACACAAATTTTTTATTTCAATTTTCAAGAGGGTTAAGGAGGAAAGGAATGCTATTTCAGATCATCCTCTTGTCAACAATAAGGGGGTGAAAACACTATGGTAACCATGTCTTTACCTCTTTCGCGTTTTTCCATAATGAAAACATTTTGCTTCATCTTATTTATGTTCGTTTTATCTGTTTGTGAAGGGAGAGTAAAGCCAAGTCAATACACAATATATACGTGGACTTTTTGCATTTCAAGGAGAAGGTCCATGTGTCTGATCACAGTGCTACTGTGCGAGTGGCAATTGATAATGCCCTCCAACTAGGGATGAAAACGGAGCGGATATGGACGGATAATGCTCATACCATATTCGTTTTCATATTTTTTACCGGATACAAAAACGAATACGGATAGCTCGAATACGGAAACAAATACAGATTATCTCGAATATGAATAAGAATCGAATATGATCGGACACGAATACGGAAACAAATTTTTCTCGGAACACGAAAACCAACTCAACTTCTAATAGAAACAAATATCAACATATATAATTATATCATTTTATATAAAATTTAAATAATATTAATAGTATGGACTAGTGTTAAGAGATAAACTACTATTAAAATCTATAAAGGTATATTGAAGGTTATAGAGTTAGAAAGAAATGGGGTATGTCTTATGGGTCCTGCGGATATCCGAATAGCACTGTTCACCGGATATCCGAATTATTATCTGTATCCGACGGAAACCCTGATATCATATTCGTATTCGTATCCGGGAGAAAATATCCGTATTCGTATCCGTATCCGAAATATCCGAGAATTATCCGATCCCAAAGGTATCCGTATCCGTTTTTGTCCGGAGCGGACGGAAACTATCCGCTCCGTTTTCATCCCTACCTCCAACTGAGGAATTGCACAAATCTGGACTATTATGCTGTATATGATAACAAGCTAGTCAACAACGAACTATCCCTAGAGTCAGCTGGCGTCTGCAACAATTCAACCATCTCAACTATCTCAGTTAGACCACGGATTCGTGGAGGGTAAAAACACTTCCTGTTTCTTTACTATTGTTCTATTATGTTTACCATTGTTATGTTACTGACTGCTGTTGAATTGGTATGTTCTGTTTATTATTTTTATATACATGTTGTGTGAATCTTTGACACACAGAGCAAAACTTTATTATGCTGTTCTGTTTTCTTACTATATGTGTTGTCATTGCTAGGCTATTATCATTTGATTCCTATCTTGCTGCAATCAAGGACCACTTACTAGTTACAAGAGTTCTCCCCCAGAAGTTATGGCATTGGGATCAAGGATATGATCATTTCGTTGTTGAATTATCTCCTGTTGGTCTTAGAGCACTCAGGTTATTATTTGAACTGATTGAAAGGATGCATTTAAATGGAATGTCTCTTGACGGGAAGTTTGGGTTGGGAGATATTATGTACAACTCTGAGTTTGATAGATTGCAATTCAGTTCTTCAGTCAACTTCGTTCAGTACCGTGGTCCGGAACTTTTCAATGCAGAGTTTTATCAGAATGATATGTTCAACATCGCTAGTATTCTTCTAGAGCACTTCAGGTGGAAGCATCCAACGGATGGAAATGAGTACCTTCCAGTTTATATGGACCAACTGGTGAAGTATATTTACAATATGGACAGCAACTGTGGAAGAACCAGGAAAGGCAGGTCAGTCATTTTTAATCACTGTTGCATGATGACAGCAACTGAGAGGGCTGCTCTCATCCAAAGTTTGAGAGACTACGAGCGTGGTCTGGAATCGTTCGCTTGGTTTGCATTAAGAACAGCTCTTCCAAATGAGAAGGAAGAGTGGTTCAAGCAAATGAAAATTGGTTACTCCACATATCAGGTTCTGTACTATTCCAGGATCAATCAATCTGGTCAGCGGGTGCTACTTAAACAGTACCTTCCATTGTGCCCTCTATCTCATCTGGATTTCTCAAGGTGTATCATCGTTCACGCTATTAAATCTGGCGAGGTAAGTACAAGCTGAGTTCCTTTTCCTTTGTCTAAACTAGTAACCAGTGACTCAGTGAGTATTCTTCCCCTGTTTTGCCTCCTTACTATTTCTGAGTAGGACTCCCTCCGTACTATTTTAAGTATAGCTAGTTTTTATGTTCAATTTTAATCATCCGTCTTATTTAAAATTATTTAAAAAAAATAGAAAACATAAGTCGCTCATAAATACTACTACTAAGTATACTCCACTGTACATGTCTAATCATTTCTGAGTAGTTTAATCATCTTTATCCTAGTTGAGTTCTTGCTGACTGGGACTACTACTAGTAGTACTCTTACATATTTAATCATCCGTCTGTAATAGGCTATGTGTTGTCTCTGTTGAGTTCTTTTCTACAGTATTGTCTACTTTTGCTTAAAGAGCTTATTTGGAACCAAGGAATCTTGTAGGAATTTCAAAGGATTAAGATTCCTATGATTTCCCTACAGAACATCCAAATACATCTTTTACCAAATTGCAGTGTTTTCACTTCCTGTAGTCTTCGTCTAGGCATGAGTGCATGACACTCTATTCCTGTGCCTTTTTATTCATATGTTTTCTTAATATCGCTTTCAAAAAGGAGGCCTAAATGAGGTTCTCATGTTTGTTACTACAATAGTACATTAGTACTGGCTACTGGTGCTACTACTACTTCTACTCCTAGCTAGGAACACATTGCTAAATTATTCTTTCATTCAACTCTGCTTTGTTTAATCAAATATAATCCGTATTTTTCAGTATAGCAGTTCTAACTACTATTCCTATCTTCTTGTTAGGATTCTATGGAACAAGCGGAGAATTATCTTGCAATCGTGGACCCACTGTTTCTTCCATACCTGTTGGAGAGAATAACGAACATGTACAACCAGACACAGCTAGCAGCCGACGCGTTGGACATTGATAATATTTTGGGCTGGAGAAGAAAGTTCGACCATAAAGACGCCGATGCTTAAGTTTCCTGGGAGAAGAGCGCATGTAACAGATTTTGCTACTGTGTTTACTTTTTTTTTCCCCTTAAATCTCATAAAAGCTATGCTCTTCCTACCCGCGTGTCTGCCCATTGGTGCTATATATGGTGCTGGAACTTATCTACTTGAATTAATTGCAATCTTACTACTATGTCTATTCATTCGTGCTATGGTGCTGGAACTTATTTACTTTGCTGTGTCTAGTTATTTGGCTAATTTTTTTAAAAAAATATGGACACACATTAGTATTAAACGTAGACTAATAACAAAACAAATTACAGATTCCGTCTGTAAATTACGAGACGAATTTAATAAGTCTAATTAATCTATCATTAATAAATGTTTACTGTAGCACCAAATTATCAAATCATGGCGCAATTAGGCTCAAAATATTCGTCTCGCAATTTACATGCAAACTGTGCAATTGATTTTTTTTTGTCAATATATAATGCTTCATACATGTGTCTAAATATTTAATGTGATGGAATTTTTAGAAGCTTGAAGGGACTAAACACGGCCTTTGTCATTGTCATCCATTTATTCGTACTCCTATCTTTTTTGATATTTTGAAGAAGTCTAAAACTTGTTTCCCAGCAACTGCCTAAGAGTAAACATTTCACAAAGCAAATAAGTTTCCCTGATCATGGGCATGGTGATGTGGCGGTGGGCATGGTGATGTGCAGCATGATATTTTCCCTGATCAAGCACTGAACCGAATACCTCCGCAGTCAGCATCTGCGCCACCTCCCATCGAATCGCCATCGTCAAGTCTGGGTCTGGGCTTATACCGCCGGCCGTGCGACGTCGGCAGTGCCACGGTAGCATGTGTTCCACGGGCAAGTACGGGACCCACCGCTGTAAACTTTATGATATCGTAAAGGATATTTCCCACCCTAAAAGCTAGCTATTAAGGTGAGGGGTTCCTCTATTTATATATGGGTTAATTAGACCCATACCATTATAATTTTGCTCGTTTTGAAATGAGAGAATCAACTCAGTACCACTGAATTTTCACCACTTCTACAATCTACCACTGACTTTGTTAAGTTGAATAATATGCCATCGTGTTTAATCTCTACTGCGTTCCATCGCCATCCTGAGCCGTTAGTTGGCACCCGTTTGATGAAGTGAAAATTTTTTAATGACTAAAATACCCTTTGACTAACATACAATAGCACTTCTTGATTGAAAACCCTAAACGTGCGAGTTTTTTCCAGCAGGTTGGGGCGGTACCAAATCGTAGCCATTGATTGGATCGGATCCAACGGCTGTCATCCATCGGTACCGCCAGGTACTTTGGGATGGTACCGCATCAGGGTAGACAGGTGGAAGGGTAAGGTCGTCTTTTCGCATCAACAAACCGTGGAGCGACAGGAGCTGCCGCCGATCTGGCCCCGTCCTCGCCGCCCTCTCCTCGTCTCCGCGCGAGGCCCTCGGCACCCCGCGCAGGCAAGCATGCCGAAGCCATGGGGGCCTCCTCCCGTCTCCTCCCTGCATCGTGATGGGGAGGCCGCCAAATCTAAGCTGAAGCAGGCCGACGACCCCCCCTCCCCTTCCCCTCCTCCCAACACCGATGATGACCACTGGCATCGCGACTCCGGCAACTGGCGCTACAAGAGACGAAGCAGGGAAGATGAAGCTGCCCCGCCGCCCTTAGGGGAGGACCTCCTCCTTGCCGTGATGGGTCAGCCTACGCGCTGCAGCTTCCTCAATCCTTCCTGGATGTTCAGCAGAATGCCCAGGTTAGAATATGAGTAATTCCTTGTACTATGAAACTTGCCTTAGATTCTACATACTAGAGTCTTATGTATTTCCTGGACTTGAAGCACTAGATTACGTGGATGTATAAACAACTCTGTATTCGTAATTTGATGTTAGATATGTCTAGGATGTACTACATATCCTGGATAGCTGAATATACGAGAAGTCGTCTTCATAATATACAATTGAAGAAACAGGACATTTGATACGCAATTAAATAAACAGGGTTTTGATGCCTGCATATACTTTTGATTGGTACTACTAGTTTGTGGGGTTATTATGTTGTTCAGAAATTTAGTGCTTTGTTCTGTCTAAAGAAGTTGATCGACAGTGTTTTCTTTGCATTGTCAAAAGTATCCAATGAATAATTTACTCACAGGTTTTAAAGCTATTTGAGTACATGTGGTTCTTCTGCCCTGGCATAGTGCTATATGCCTGTTTTACACTACCTTGGATTCCAACCTTTCTGAGTGTTGATTATTTGCAGGTTTTGGAGATATCAAGAAATCCTGGATTTTTCACATTTTGGTCCTTTTAAAAAACTTATTTCGTAAATAGACCCCTGAAAAAACTTATCCCAGAAATGGTCCTTTTTGGGGCGCCAGAGTGGCTGGCGCCGTCATCCAATGGAACGGCGCCTGCCTCTCTGGCGCCGTCCTCCTGCCACCGTGGCGCACGCGAACCGACGTGGCAGGAGGAGGGCGCCAGCCATGCTGGCGCCGCCCCAGGGAGGAGGGCGCCAGCATGGCTGGCGCCGCCGCCTCCATTCCTGTTTCTCTGTATGGAGTTGCAACGGTGTCATTTTTATTTTATTTTTTCGGATGTTTTTTCATACTCAGGATCACGATACAACCAACCACAAAAAAAATTTAAACTCGAACTACCACTTAGCTAAGTCTGAAAATATCTAGCATACCACTTAGTCTACTTTGCACTTTCACTAAAATTAGACCATAACTCTTTTAGTAAAACCCTTTGATCAGCATGTTAAACATAATGCACTCTACCACTATATGAAATTACTTAATCTAATTCAAAATATAACCACATGAAATGACATATATAAGTTAAACAGTACATAGAGATGCAATTTTTTTTATTTTTATTTCATTTTTTTGATATTTTTTTTCACACTTAGGAGAACATAGGAACCAACCGTATAAAAAATAAACTCAAACGGATAAAATATGTGACATGTAGAATTTTCCAAAACTCTACCAAAATGGACAAAATATGTCATCTATTAAAATAGGCATAACTTTCTCATACGGACTCGGAATCAGGCAAACAATATATGCACGGACATCTACAGAAAAAGTTACATCCGATTCTCCCCAGCTTTGCCGGGTTCGGCGATATTAAAACCTCCAAATTCCGCTTGCAAGATTGTGTTTTCGAGAAGAGAAGTTTTTTGGTGGAGCTTTGAAAAATTCCATATGCCACATATTTCGTCCGTTTGAGTTTATTTTTTACATGGTTGGTTCCTGTGAGTTCCTAAGTGTGAAAAAAATATCAAAAAAATAAAATAAAAATAAAAAAGTTGCACATCTCTCTCCTCTGCACTAGTTCGGAGAGAGGAGAGGAAAAATTCTACATGTCACATATTACATTCATTTGAGTTCAATTTTTCTATGGTTGGTTCTTGTGTGTCCCTAAGCGTGAAAAAAATATCAAACAAATAAAACAAAAATAAAAAATTTCGGGGGGGGGGGGGGGGGGGCGCCAGCCACTCTGGCGCACTCTCCCTAGCCACCTCAGCATCGCCCCGCCACGTCGGCAGGGGGACGGCGCCAAAGAGGCTGGCGCCGTCCTGTTGAACAACGGCGCCAGCCACTCTGGCGCCCCAAAAAGGACCATTTTTGGGATAAGTTTTTCTAGGGGTCTACTTGCGAAATAAGTTTTTTAAAAGGACCAAAATGTGAAAAATCCAGTCAAGAAATCAGTCTCATTTTATTGAAAACGATTAAAGCCTCATCTGAACCAAATCTTGCCAAAATGTGGGCTAGATCACTTTACATTTTGTTATCATAGTGGAGCACTCAAGCTGCCTTTGGGATGATTTAAGCCGAGTATCTTGGGAGGCTGCGGTCTATGGGTGTTTGTAAACTGTGATGTGATGTCAAACTATTTGTTGTATATGTGTGAATTGTGTTGTGAGCAACATTTTTGTAAATTGATTTTGCCGTGAATACAGGGGAGGTTATGCTGAAGTTTGTTTGTTTTTTTTTTTGTAATTTTGCACATAAGGTGTTCTATGAAATGCCCATGAGGAATATCTGTCCAAATTATGTGTATATAGGATCTTGATGAGGTGGTCTCTTGTTTCGTTTGCATTGTCAGAAATAACATCCTGTCCTCCAAATTCTCAAGAAATTTGATAACAACAATTCCCTTGATTTAGTACTTCATAACTTAAGTTGAATGACAAAGTTGCCAGGAAGGGTTGCTATGTAAGTCCCATCTAGACATCTAGTCATCTTGCCACACATTGCAAAACTTTCATGTTTGCACAAGCAGCCTGTTGAGCTTGGTAACTGAGAAATTGCAGACACCAATGTCCTTAACCAGCCATCTGTCACAATTCTCTACATTTCACAATATGCAGCTGAGAGCATACGTTCTCTACTTTGCATCAACAAAGTATGTACATGACACACGTTCATAAGTTTCATAGCATAATAGTGGCAAACAATATATAATCCTCTATCCAACAATACAGCTTCCCACACATGGAAATCAAACATTAAAATTATGATCAAACTCTAGATTCAACTTCCACCGGTGCAAAGAAACGCTTCATAATTCTCATACACTTCATAATTGTCTCCCATTTCATGACCCATACAAAATCTGCAAAAAGAAAACACAGAATACTCAGAAATCATCTAAAATGAATAAACAGACTGCTACCTTAGCTCTTACTTATAACACAAAAAAATTTTAGATCACAAGAAAATCCCATACCTGGGGAGAAACCCTAAACTGGTAGGGGGCCTGGGCTGCGCCGATGGCAGCGGGGGAGGTACTTGCTTGAGCCGTCGAGAGAGGGGGGGGGGGATGGGGGGCGTAGAATGCCACGGCACCGTCACTCCTGAATGCGGCGGCGCTGCTGGTGACGGAGCTCGCCGGTGGTTCCGCTGCCGCAATAGATGGGAAAAAAATGGGCATCGACGGGGGCGTGGATGCGGGGCGAGCGCACCGTGAGATGGGAAAAAATCGGCACCATTAGGGCATGGATGCGGGGCGACAGATGAGAAAGAGACGGCGCGTGGAGGGAGGAAAGAAAGCGAGAAAGCGGCGGCGCGACTCCAGGGAGATGGTTCACGCGTATACGCTCCCGATATACGTGGCCGTATATATATACGCTGGGATATAGCAGATGACCAACGTACGCAACTGCTGGCCATCGGCCCATATGCATGCAGCCCACACGAGCTGCTTGTATGTTTTCCAATTGGTCTGTCTTTCTCCCTTGACAAAAAAATACCATGTACAATGAGTTAGGGGCAAATATGTTTTTTTACAGCTTTAACAGATGTCCAACCAATGGCTTGTGGACAGCGATGGCACACAGTAAAGGTTCAAGAAAACACGATGACATATTATTCAACTTGACAAAGTCAGTGGTAGATTGTAGAAGTGGAAAAAAATAAGTAGTACTGAGTGGATTCTCTCTAAAAAATACCACTACAATTCACGAAATTGAAAACATACCATTACAATTTAACATGTACTATATATGTGCCATTACTTGACCTATTTTGTGCAATTTATATTTACTTCTGACCAAATTACCCTCGTCCCCCCCCCCCCACCCCCACCCCATCCTCTTCTTTGTTCATCTTCCTCTCTCTCTCCTCTCGTCCCCTGTAATGCTTTTGTGGCTGCCGGTCACCACCCTCCACTGCTAAGCGCACATCCCCATGCCACGGAGCCGCCGCCTCTCCATCATCCGCCACCCTATCGAGCTCGCCGGAGTTGGTCATAAATCCGGTCGTCCTCTTCCTGGGCGTCGGCGTCGGCGCCGGTTACCTACTGAGGCGGCGGCGGCCGCCTGGCCCCAGCCTTGCCAAGGTCGAGGTGCTCTACACCAAGGGGGTCTACACCGTGACCTCCATCTCCGTCAATGACGTGTTCCTGATGCGGGCCTGAAAGGAGAGCATTGGCGTTGGCGATGAGGTGCTCCTTCTCTTCGATGGGCGTCAAGCTTGACCTCTCCAACAAATTGGCTAGGCTCGGCATGCAGTCCCGCCGCTACGTGCTCCCGACCTCCACAGCATGCAGTCCCGCCGCTACGTGCTCCCGACCTCCACAGCATGCGCATGGTGTGGTTCGCCGGAGCTGGCCTGACATCACCTACTTGATGCGCAGCCAGCAATGCCGATGGTGCACAGCCATCTGCCCCCGCCTCCGCGAGGATGAGAGCTATAACAAGAAGGAGATGGGCAACGGAAATGATCATTGCTGCTAGCTGCTCGTTGGATTCTTGATTGGAGATTTGGAGAAAGCTTACTCGCTGATAGCTTATGTCGCCAAGATTCAGAAAAGGAGAAGAGAGGGGGAATGAACAAGACATGGGTAAATTGGTCTAAAAAAATTGGGAAATGCATTGAAAGAATAAGTAGTGGCATGCCTGGAATACCTGAGAAATTGTAATGGCGTGGTTTCAATTTGATGAATTATAATGTTATATTTCAAAACCGAAGTAATTTCAATGGTATCAATCCAATTAACCCCCATATATACTAGGTCTCTTACCCTTCCACAACCAATATAAAACTATTCAACAATCTCCCCCTTCACACATGGGTGCCCACTTCCACAACCAATATGGGACTATTCACATCACACCGTTTTCCTCACGATCCCTCAGGTATACGAGTCCCGACATGGGTGTCCCTTAGCAGTTCACCGCCCCTTCACCGTCTCCCTATGGTCCCTTAGGTATACGTGCGCTACAGGCATTCACGGTCCATCAGGCCTTCACACACTATGTCAGGCACCCACAGTACATCAGGCCTTCACACACTATATCCCTCAGCCGTTCACTGCCCCTTCATCGTTTCCCCACACTATGTCCCTTAGCCGTTTACCGCCCCTTCACCGTTTCCCCCACAGTCCCTCAGATCATATACTATGCCCTTGGGCTAAAGATATTAAACTAATCAGGCTCTAATACTAATTGTAGAATAGTAAATGGCTTTTTTCACCTCCAAAAGCTAGCCATTAATGTGAGGGGCTCCTCCATTCATATATACTACCTCCATATTTTAATGTATGACGCCGTTGACTTTTTGTCCAACGTTTGACTGTTCGTCTTATTCAAAAAATTTATGTGATTATCATTTATTTTATTATGACTTGATTCGTCATCAAATATTCTTTAAGCATAACATAAATATTTTCATATTTGCATAAAAATTTTGAATAAAATGAATAGTCAAACGTTAGTCGAAAAGTCAACGACGTCATAAAATAAAATAGGGAGTATATATTAGGTCTTTTGACTTTCTATAACAACTAATGTGAGACTTTTTAATAGATGCCATGACAGCGCCCGTCACTAGCCGCCAAGAAGAGCCACAGGAGGAGCTGCGGCTGCCGGTCCCTGTAGTAAAGACGTACATATGATCTAGGGACGTGTCGGTAAATAGTAAATAGGGATTTTGGGTTAATTTGCCCCTTCGCCTAGGATCCAGACAATAAAAAGGTAATCGACAGATCAATAAAAAGGTAATTACCTAGGGACGTGTCGGCAACGGCGAACTCTTTTTTTCGCCGGGCCAGTTAACAAGGCAACGGCCAACTCTATGTAAGTGTATAGGCAACAACTTGCTAGTTCCTTTCCATCGATCCGGCAGTTCTCACCTCCGTGGTCGGGAGCTGCTGATCCTTTTTCTTTTTCTCAAGTGGTCAAAACACGTTTTCACAGGCAGCAAAACCTTCCGCCTATATCCAAACGACGGTAAAAATCCCTAATTTTTACATGCAGCAGTTCGGATCTTCGCAGGCGCTGCCAAGTGCCAGTAGCCTTACCTGCAAAAATACCCTCGATGTCAAAAAAAAATTCCCTTCCAACCCCACCCCTCCATAGGGTTTCAAATCACAAATTCTCATCCAAGAAACAAAAGTATTGGATTCAAATCCACAACAAGTTAACAACAATGAACATCTAAACTTAAGAAAAAAACATGTCGTCGTCACCGGCGAACTCCTCCATTGCATGGGGTGGCCGCTGCCGCCGCCTCCCTCCCTCCTCGGCCAGATCTGGAAGGGGATGGTTGGGGCAGCGAGCCCGTGCGCGCCGCCGACACCCCTCCCCTCTGCCAGATCAGGGAGGGGAGGGGTCGAGGGGAGGGGCAGCGACACGGTAGTCATCATCGTCGCTCGTAGGCGTTGTCGCCAATGCCGGCCACCTCCGCCCCCGCCGCCGCCATAGCCCTCCACCCGCGCCTCCGCCGGCTCCCTCCGCCCGCACTGCCGCCGACCTTTTCACCGCCCGCGCCACCGCCAACGCCCTCCGCCGGAAGGAAGGGGAGGGGAGGGAACCGGCCGGATGAAACGAGAGAGAGGGGGAGGGGGAGGGAATGAGTGGTAGGGAGAGGATTGGTTGCATGCTTGCATTTACTCTTTGATTTTGTAACATCCAAAATGATTTAATTTTTTTCTTAGCCTTATAGTGATAAAAGTAATAGGTATAACTTTTGTGGATGGAAGGAGTACATTATATCTGGTATTATGGTTCAGTGACACGATTCAAACTCGACGTTAAGTGCTTGTTCTCCAACTCGTGTCTTTCAAAAGGTGGTTGTTCTCCTACTTGTGTCTTTTCAAATGGGTTTCTCAAGCAGGACAATCATGTTGGTAGTTTGAATCTGCTCTTTTGCTGTGCTCCTGATATTTAGCACTTTACCCTATTTGAGTTGTGCAATTTGTGCTTGATATCTGTAACTATTACTACTTTTCCAGTTAGCAATGGTATTTTCTATTTTCCTACGGTCCTCTCTATTATGTCAACGAAAGTAGCTGCATATCTACACACAGAGGTTTCTATGGCCAAAATCAGAAATTATCTTTTTACCATTGAGTTGTTTATCATGTTTGAAACAACAACCCAGAAGGCCGCCACAAACTTATTTGCATAAACTATTTCACGCATCTGGGGTATCGGCTTAAAGGTTGGATTGCATGAGCTTGTGTTCTACTCCTGCAACTGGAAGGTGATTTCCCCAGTTCCCCCGATTCATTGCAAAGCCATGTGTTATGTCCTAACATTCAGAATGTATTGTCTGGTGGTTAATTTTTAGTCCTGGTAGAAATTAGGGGAAACTAATATGTTCCCTACTGGTCACTGATCTCCTTACATCTATAAAAGTGTATTTGTATTATTTGTTATTGACCTAAGGCTGTTTTAAATGAATGTCGTCTATATATTGTTAAACTGAATTGCCTCTCTCACATGAAAGCTTACAATTTTTATTGTGCACTACTCTGCAGCAACTGAATTTTTATGGTGATTAGATATGTGATGATACAAGTACACTTCTCATTTTATCATCTCCAATGTATTTTTTTCCTTGGATTGTCTTTAGATATGTCAGCAATCATGCATGTGCTCATAAAGGTTGTATCTCTGGGAGAAGCATTTGCTTATTTGTTCATGCCTATGGTTTCCCTGAAAGGACCTGTAGCCAAGCTTATCGGTTTGGATTTTAAAACCATGGTTGAAATGAAATGATTTTTACAAATGAATTCTATGAATCATATGGATGTTCCATGCTTTCCTAACAAAGTGTTATGTATTTTCCAGTTTAGTCATGCATGATTATCTACAGAACTTTGTCACAAAGGCATCAACATGTCTTTTTAATTTTTCCTATGTGGTTTTTGGTTGTCCTTTATTCTTCAAGAAAAATATTATAAATGATTTGATATGTTAACGTAACCTATGTATTTTTTTTTCAAGGAATGGGAATCAAAGAACACTTTATATCAAATATTAACATCAGTGATCACACATTAGTTTCTCTTATTTTTAATTTTTACATCTCCTGCTAGAGGATATAGAGTTGTGATTTGTGGCATGGATCCTCTGTGCTGTGAATCCAAGTCATGGATGGAGACAACAAATGTGGAAAACTTATCCAAAGGGCCGAGTCAAACTTTTTATCAAGTAAATGCTGCTTAACTTATGCCGATTTAAATAGTTCCTTAGTGTCCATAGTTCATACAAATCTCATTTCCTTCTTCACGTAGCATCAACTATAACTTTCTCAACATTGATGGCGATTATGTAATAATACCAACCAGTTCTTGTTCTTAATTTGCAAGGTCACTTGTGGAGTTGAGGTATTCATCATTGCCTTTTCCCCTTCCCTTTCGGCCCTGTTCAGTATAATCAGGTCCTTCATGATGTAATTTTATTAGCCTGCGATTGGCAGTTACTCTATGGTACTAATGCTTTCTTGTCGACAATAGTTCCATGCACAGTGATGTGTTTGCAGGGTTTACAGTCTTTTGAGAATTGAGATGTTTAGTGTAATCCTTTGTGACTCATTGACAAAACCATTTAGGTCCTTGTTGATGTATACGGTGATCCAGAACTCCTTGTTGCATATGGTACAGTTTGAAAAAGTCTATACGTACTAACTTTTCCTTACTAAATTCTTACTAACACTGACGTGTCATGCTAGGAGTGCATCTAGATTTTTTATAACTACAATCTACTTGAATTAAACTGTTGTTGAGATGATTGTTAGTACAAATTTAGTAAGAAAAATTTAATACGTGTAGCAGTTTCTTTTCCTTTTTGCACACTTATAGTTCGTGAGGCAGTTGATTTTGACCTTCCTTTTGACTGAAAAAAATATTTCCTTTTATGTTGTTTTAAATTCTATGTGCAAACTCAGATTTATTGTGACTTTATCTTTATCTTTGCTGTTATTAAAGAGGCCTCACCAGGCTATTGTTGAAAAAAAATCACCAAAGACAGCTCACTATATTTTTACTCCTACCCTAAAAAATATAAAACCAGCAACTTCTCTACTCATTCTCAGTTTATAAATTACCCTTTGCTAAGCCCTTTGCTAAGTGAAAATGAACAACTATGTGTTGATTCCACTATTATGGTAGGCGTTGACCACTGGTGAAAATCCTATCTTGCGATTTGCAACTTTTAATGAGCATTCTTGTTTTCTGTAAAATGGCAGAAGAAGGCAAGATAGTATGCCATTCAGTAATAAAATTATCAAATCCATCTTCATTTACTTTTTTTATGTTTATGATGTGACAATTTGAGACATGTTTATGTCAATATAAATTTAGCTGCAGAAGAAAATCTTGCATAAGCTGAAGTATCAGAGAAAGTGAGTTCCAGTTCTTCAATTGCTTGGTGGTTTTCATTTTTGGTCAAACTGAACTTATGTTGTCTCCGTTTGTAAATACAGAGCAGATTTGATCGCTCCATATATTTAATTTCTGTTTTTCGGTGAGGAGTGAGGATAGAGCTGGAACTTCGTTCTTATCAAACAACTTCATGGGAGGTATAACCTGCTATGTTATGAAGTTTCTGGGATGAAAATGATGATGATGATGGCAGTCCAGATAGGTGAAAGGTGAGGTCACATAAGGTGATTCTTAATAGGTCCATCTTTTACAAACATGGCACATTCTCATCTCAAGAAATTTTACTAAGATTGCATGCCGATCATCAGTGCTAAGATAGCTTGCAGTGCAGATAAAGTTTCCACCACTAACATAGTGCTTAGAGAAAGATAAGAAGAGAACTACAAATATCCGATTACATCTAATAATATAGATAAATTGCATGTGTTTTCTCATTGCCGTTCCATGTGCTTCTTTTTTTGCCAATCAGAACCTACAAACAAGACATGAATACATTTATTAATCACAAATTCAACAATTGTAAAAACAGAGATGTATTTATTAATCACAAATTCAACAATTGTAAAAACAGAAAGCAGTTTACCGGAAGAAGTTGGAGCCCAGCATACGCGGCAGCATGACACCATACAACCCAGGCAGCTGATCGCCAAAGTCAGTAGGGAGCAAACAAGCGGAGATTACGTAGCCCTTGGACATGTCAACAGTGACCATAATATTCTGATTCTCGAGCATTTCATTGCTGTTATCATTCACGATAAGGAGATGGAGGCTGCCATCCTCCGTGCTCAGGATAGGACTCTGCGGTGCCATATTCGGCATCGGCTCCAGCATCGTTGCGCATATAGGAATCTTCTTGAAAAGCTGCGCGCATATGCCTCCAATGCTGAGGTCACGGTCTTTCCTCCACGACCAAGATTCCTGGGGTCTCAGGCTCCACATAGTCACCATCCGATCCTCGATAGGGGCAGTGCTGTCGCGGAGGTAGCCTTCAATGGTGACGAACTTGATGCTGTCTCCGACACACACGATAGAACGGTACATCTCTGGTGGATAGGAGTCAGAAAGCGGGCGGGTGGTGATGTCATCATTACAACAGCCCGGTGGCAGATCAACAAAGTAGAACGGCACAGAGCCACTGTCATTGGAATTGGAGAACAAGTCGTAGTGTTGGCAGAAGAGGATTCCTTGATGCAAGTCAACCCACATAGCCAAGCCATCGAACGAGAGCATCTTATTTGCAGAAAAGCCTCTCGTCACCACCTCTTTGGGGAAGATGGCCGACTTGGTCATCCACAGACTGCAGTTGGTGCTGGACGATGGCGATGGATGAGCCAAAGATGACTGCTGCAGCGGACTCAGGCAGACACGATCTTCTATGTGCTGATCCATCCCCTTAATCGTCATGGCACGGCCTAGGAGGACGAGGTAATGTGCAACACCACAAGCGATTGGGAGAGGTTCCTTGGTGACAGCAGAAGACACTTTGTGGTGGTGAAAGGAGAATTGCAGGTCGGGGATCATGGTGATGGACGCGTCGGAGGCGTCGTAGACCAGGTAGAAGGATGAACACGCACACTTGAGGGAGTGGAACAAATCACCTCTGGGAAAGGCGACGGAGAGGACGATGACATGATTCTTGATAGCCAGCACCGCGGCGCAGACTTGGCCTCTCGTCCCAGCCCGCGCGGCTTTGCTCACGATGATGCACAGGGCGGAGAAGCCCCGGTCGGAGACGATGCGCGCACCGAGCTTCACGCCCTCCACCACTGCCTCGCAGACGCCGTAGCCGGCCCTGCGATCGCATCTCAGGATGTTCCACCGGCGTAGCTCCTCCCCGTCGTCGATCTCGTCGACAACCACGACCTCCCGCGGCAGCACAGACCAGGAGGAGGGATACGAGGGGGGCATGGCACCGTCCAAGCGGAGACGATCAACCCCAGCCATGGCCGGCGATTCAGGCTGCGTAACCGCCGCAGCCATGGGACACGATTCAGGTTGTTGCGGAACGGCCAGCAATTCAAGTTGCGGATGATAAACCCAAGGCATGGCCGGGCGACTCTGGTGGGTTGATTCGTGGATCGGAAACCCTAGTAGATCGACCAAGGGGGATCGAAAGGGGATCGGAATCGGAGACCGGATTCTATAGAGGGACTAGCGGACGACACTCCACTCTCCAATAAACACACCAGAGATTTTTCCGGGCCGGGAAAGGGTTGGGCCTCCTGCTAGGTGGGTTGGGTGGAAATGGGTTTATTGGACTAAGGGTTAAGTCCGATTTACCCCCCCCCCTAAACTCTTGCCAAAGTACTATGGTACCAGACATAATATCCCCTTGAACTATTCAATACGGACACTTAACCCCCCGCGACCAATTTTGACTGGTTTTACCCCTTTGGCCCTGGCGTGGCACACCCATGTGGCAAATGATGTGACAATTACATAAAAATATCCCTCCCCTCCCTCTCCCTCGTGAAAATTTCCCCACCCAAACCCCTAACCCTAGCGGCATGGTGAAGGGCGGTGCTGGGGCATGGTGAAGGGCGACGTAGGCTAGGCTGTGCGGCGCGGCGCTGCGTAGGCACGACGCTCGCACGGCGGCAAGGCGCAAGGACGGGACGGCGCACAAGTATGCCACAGAGCTCAAGCATGTCATGTCACTGATGCAATTCTGGGGTTGTATTTGTAATTCTGGGGTTGTATGTTAAGCTGTGTTCTTCCTGTATATGCAGTGTACTAGCATGTAATCACTGCATGTACTGATACATGTCATGGTGGCTATCTGAACCAGCATGTTTCTCAATTTGTGATGGTCATGTTTTGTGCAATAAAGTGTGTGCGCAGTTAGTATAAATCAATCAAGAAGGCTATTTGGAATAGCACAAGGGAACATATGCTTCAGTGAACATTTTCAACCAGTAAACATATCATTTTCTTCACTTTTGAGGAGCTCTTCTTCCCTCGCCGCTGCTTGTGCCTCGCCATTGCGCTTGTGCCGTGCCACCGCGCGTGTTTCCCGCCACCATGCGAGCGTCGTGCCAGCGCAGCGCCGCGCCGCTCGCGCCGCACAGCCTCGCCTGCGTTGTCCTTCACCATGCCCCAGCGCCGCCCAGCTCCACCTGCGCCGCTAGGGTTAGGGGTTTGGGTGGGGAATTTTTCACGACGGAGAGGGAGAGAGGGGGAGGGGAGGGATTTTTTTTAATTGCCACATCATTTGCCACATGGGTGTGCCATGCCGGACAAAAGGGGTAAAACAAGCTGAAATTGGTCGCAGGGGGTTAAGTGTCTGGATTGAATAGTTCAAGGGGGTATTATGTCTGGTATCATAGTTTAGGGGGGTAAAGCGTACTTCCGCAAGAGTTTATGGGGGTAAATCGGACTTAACCCTTGGATTAAACCCATTTGTTTCGTTTGGCTCCCTCAACCCCGTGATATCTTGATCCTCCAACTATTGAAACCGGTGTAAAATAACTCCCTCGATAACTTTGTGGGTGTTTTTCGTTGACATGACTCGTTGAACTGATCCAACCGACTAAGTCAACATGTCGGACTCCCATGTCAGTGCATCCTCCTCTTTATCCTTCCCTCTTTCTTTTCTGTCTCTCCTCGGTCCTCTTTCTCTCTCCACCTCTTTTCTCTACCCCTTCGCATCTCCCTCGTTGACAGTTGACGCCCTTCCTCTCTCGTCGGTCACGGAAGAAGCCAAGGCAGCACCTAAGAAGGACGTGGGTGATGAGCGGATCCAAGCGGCGTGGCCAACCGTTCTTGCGCCATGGCGGCTTTGCCTCCTGTGCCCCCTTTGTCATGATAACTTCCACTTTACCTCATGTCCCCCCTTCTTGCGCCATGGCGGCTGATGATGAGGCGATCGGATCCAGTCGTGAGTGGCCGGAGGCGGAGCGACGGCACAGCTGGATCCGCGGCCTCCCTCGTTTGTATTTACATTTGATAAACTAGCATGGTGGCCCGTGCAAATTGCACGGCTAGCATCCTTTTCTTTTCTCTCATACAGTAGCGTGTATATATATACACACACACACATATACATATATGTATATATATGTATATATATGAGGATAGGAATGCAGTATCTATATGCAATCTTGGATGTGAGATTAGTATGTGACAATTGGATGGCAATCCAGGTTGTTAATTTTTTTTTATTTTTATTTTTTTTATATTATTATGCAAACATAAATGCAGTACAGGAAATAAAGACAAGCTGTAAATACGAATTATGTACAAGATATAAAATTAGATATTTAGAACATAGTAGGTTTATATAGAACGGTCCAGGTGTTCATTCATATACCTTGATAGGTTGAAGGTAGATCCTTCTGAAGATTACACCAAGGACTTGGTACAACACGTTCGTAATTATACAGGTACAGGAGGTACAAGACTCTCACAAGGACTCTTACATAGACTCTCACACTTAGACTCTCATGAGTCTTTTATTTAGGTTATACTATAGTACTTACACTTAGATGGAGTGGAGTGGAGTGTGATGGCTGGTGGAGAGGTGAGAGGAATGGTTGAGTGAGATGTGTTGTGTGTGAAATGCGATGCCTCTGAAATGTGATGGTGAGCCCCTTATATAGCGCTCGGTAGAGAATCTTCATGATATCTCTTCTTGACTTCAAAGAGTTCATGATATCCCTTTAGACTTCATGAAGAGAATCTTTGGTGATGACGCTTTTGACCTTTAGTAAAGATGTCATAATATCGCCTTTTGACCATAGACTTATCTTATCTGCAATAGTGTAGATTCCTTATCTTGAATAGTGATCTATGTCGGGAATGACAAGATCTTTATTCATTATCTTCGTTGATTATCATGGGTGCTGATTGCACTGTGTCAATCTCTGACGGCTCTGATTTCTGAAACCACTGAGCCAGGCTTCTGTAGTAACTTTTCTTGGAGCATTCATTTCCAAAATCCGGTTTAATTATGTGCCCTGCTCCCTTGAAGTATTCATAACTTTGGTTGTAATATTTGCTGATAAAAATCCTTGTGATCTTGTTTTGGAAAACCAGCTGATATTCATAATCTGTGGTGATAGCTTCTTCAATTTCTGCAGCTTCAGAAAATAATCTCCAATTTTCATGATTAGCAATTGTTGTATATATTTCTTCCTCTTCATCCGATAGTTTGCTAGGACCGTCTTCTTGAAAATTAAATTGTCCATTCATGATATATATATATATATATATATATATATATATATATATATATATATATATATATATATATATATATATATATATATATATAATGAATTGTTGGACGAACAGGTGGTGTGAATTTTGGTGGTATGGAGGAGAAGATAATCCTGTATCTTCCATGTCCAAGTCTCCTGCATATATCTTTCACAGCGCTTCCTAAATCAGATTGAAGGATCTGATCGAGGGTTGCATAGATGGAATTGACAAGACCATGATCTATAATGGTTTGGAGAGATATTTCTTCATGGTTGTATGTGGGTAGGTTCCGGAATCTTTGGAGATTTATCTCAGCTTTGAGAACCAGGAATCTATAGGATGGGTTAGAGATTGCCTGATCATCTAGCCTTCAGAGAGGGAGCATATATATAATTACTCGTATGGCTGGGTTTCTTTCTCTTCCTTCTAAGAGATCAAAGAAATAATCTTGGAGTCCAAGGAATATTTTCATTTGTCTCTCCTTAAACTTTTGCCAAACAAGATCGAGGATGTCTTGCCCAAAGCAAGATAAAGTTTGCTCCGTCTTGAAGCTTAATCTAGGTTGGAGATTTTCGTATGTGGTACTCATGGGATTTTGGCTTTTAAGTTTCTTTTGGCAAGAATATTTGTAGGCACAAGATCTACATGGTGCTTTTGGCTGGGTCCGGAGTATATATTGTGGAAGGAATGAATTGGGATGATTATGCAGTATGTATGGTGTTTGGGGAATGGTATCATGCCTTTTTGTGGATGATGATGGTTTATTATGTGGAAAACATTGCAATAGGTTATTGATATTTATGTGGAAAGCAACCATGCTTGAAGCAGGATTTGTTGAGATCAAAATCTTATCTGAGAATACCTTGGTATTCTTATCTGTTGCCATAGATTGTTCAACTTCCATGGGAAGTTTATCTTGGCCATCACGGGATTTCTCCTCGCGATAATCTAGTAACCTCTCCTCATGATGAGGGATATCTTGTAGTTTAGCCCTTTTTTCTGTTATCTTTTGATCTGAGGGCACGAAATTTTTGAAATAATATGCCAGGCCATTTAAGGCATGAGCTTTTTCTTTTTTGTTTTTTGCCTGCCACAAGAGGTTTAATAACCCTTGTTGTAGCTCTCTGTTACTCTGAAATTGTGATTAAATCATTTTCCATGGCCTCTGGGCAGTTGGGGCAGTCTCCATGAACTCATATTCGTGAACCATTCAGACTTCTGTGAAGCCATTTCCCTGCATATATATTCAAAATTTTTAGTAGCTTTTAATAAATATCTATCTTCCCATGATGTCTTACCTGGCAAGTCCATAGATTTTGGAAGATATGATGGGAAAGAATTGTCATCTAAATATATTGTATTCACAACTTGTTCTCTTTTGGTCTGATCAAGCTGGTCAAGAATCTCATCTGTGTTAGACGAAAATCTTAGGCTCACCTGTTTGCCCATTATCTCAAATTGAATATCTTCGTTTGTGACAAGGAAGGGACGAATGAGTGATAAAAACGGTGTTCCTAAAATAACATCTTGCTTAAGATTTTTAACGAGTAGAAAAGATGTTTTAATGCAAACTTCAGATATGCAAATATAGATTTCAGGGATTTGATATTCTACTGTTAAAAGTCCTCCATCTGCCCCACGAATTCTGTGGGCGGCTTTACATAAATATTTATGAGGGATAATACCTTCTCGAATGCAATTGACATCAGCACCAGAATCAATTAAAGTGATATGCTGAAAGTAGGATCTGTCTATAAAACGATACATAACTTCTGTGTACCATTTTTGCTTCATATATTTTTGAATGGTTTCAACAACCTGATCATCTTCTTGAATTGGTTCGTCCTTTTCTTCCATATGGAATCCTTCTTTTAATTCTAACATGTATAGACGCTTTCTTATTTCTTCTAAATCTTGTTTCATAATTTTTTGGTCTTCGAATAGGCTGATCAAATCTGGT